GATCAAAACTCGCACCAAAACATTGCCCTGAAAATCAATAACTATAATTTAATTAGGTTTAACTCGGATTTATCTCTGGATTTAATATTATTCAATAGTTGAGTAAAGCCTAACGATTTCTGGTAGATTCTAACGAAGGCGGACGACGTCCGGTAAAGTTGGACGCAGACGATGTCAAAATCTGACTCAAAAAATGAAATTTTACATCACTGGACTGCTTTAATTGAATCATGAGTCAAGCATCTCAGTCAGGGATGGTTGATTAATTAAGAAAAGTTATGACGATGACCCGCTAGGGCATAACAGTCGTTATGAATTCTTGTGTTTTCAGAGTTGTCTTTTTTACGCGATGTTTTATTGGCGAGTTTTTTGTTCACGCTCTGAAACTGACTGCATCTATCATACTTGTACCTGTAAGGGTTAAAAGTGTTCATGTTATCTGTAATTGCTGGCAAACATATTGCAATCGATAATTGGTTAGTTTCTTCTCTTTTTTTGACTGGTCTAAGCTGACGTTCAACTTGAACTTCATTCGTCACGTTGTGATTTCCGAATTGAATAGAAACTTTTGCAGGGCAATTTTTAGCTCGTTCAAACGGGCAGAAGATGTATAACCCCGGCATGTAGTGCAAAATTGGCGTGTTGTCAATTTTAGAAATTAAAGTTTGGTCACTCAAACATCTCACCTTGCTATCATGTTCCAGTCGCACTTATTTCCCGAATCAAGGTTCTCGCTGTATGCTTCGACCAGTGTGGCGGATTAAGCTGTCGATGTTTGATCAAAATGTTGAGAGCCTATTAAGGTCTGTCTATTGATACATTAAGGCCAGTTGGGCGCAATATAGACAAATTGAAAGAAAAAACAGAAAAAATTGTACACAAAAATCCATTCTCTAGCAAACACAAAAAAATGCATAGATTTAGATTTAAGACACAGATTTGATTAGCTCGAATTGTATGTACTCGGTCAAACATTTTCTCGTGCAAAAACAAAAAGTTTTTTCTTTAGAATCAAGTCAAAATTACTTTCTTCGGTCGAATACAGTCGAAAATTTAGATGGCTAGGGTCGAGACGGTCGAAACATAAACCGCAAACCTTGACCCGGGTTATGCTTAGTGAAAGCAAAAACGACAACTGTTTTCATGGAGCCTGGTCTTTCATCGCAAATCGCTCGCCAGATTTGAACAAACAACAATTTGCCATTACCATCTATGATCTGTCTCTGTAGTTTACTGTCGTGGTCTGAATATAAAACAGATTTTTCTAACTTGGGTTTCATTAGTCTATCATGATTGCTAAATTCAGAGTAGTAAAGTTGAAGATGAAGCACTATTGCAAGACATGCCGTCCATAGAAAATATCGAAATATTAAGCAAAGTTTTTTATTCATTGGCACAAAATGTAAGAGAAACAAATTTTTCACAAATATTTTGAAAGAACAATTTTTTATTTTTAAATGTCTAATTTCTAAACACTGAGTGACAAATGTTACTAAGAAATCAAAAGACAAGATAATACTACAGAGAAAATCTATCAAAGCACATGAGACAATTGCATACCGCTGTTAACTACCTAGAGAAACAATGAATTTCTCCAAAATCAAGAATGAAATAACGGAATCAAAGAGCCGGATACATGGATAGCCAAAAAATAATTTAATTTAGTCTAAAATTTAGTTTTAAAAAACAAAAAATACAAAAATATCAAAAACAAGCATCAATTGCATGTAACCAATACATGTCGCCTGCCCTTACGTTCGGCACGCGTTTCATAGTCAGCGTGAATCAATCTTTTTTTATTTGATGTCTTATGTGGTTTTTTCAGCTATTCGGGGAAAGCCGAGCTAGGGAATAAATAAATGTCAATTCAAAAAATATGTAGTGCTTTTGTTTTACTGATTTTCAGAAATTGTGAACAAAAGGGTTGTGTTAACTTCGTTCATCTCAATTTTTTGAATTATCTTTTAATGTCGACTGTTTCTGTTTGATGTTACGTAGGAAAACGTATCTCGATATACCGGAGTTATGCTCAGACTGAGTTTGAGGGTATCTGAAGTAGTTTTGGTGAAAAATGGTGAAATTCAAAAACATATTTGTGCAATCTCAAGTTATGAGGTTCTCATCTATTGACGTGTTATTTAGGCCAACTACATCAAAAATTAGAAGACTGCAAAAGAAGGTAACTGAAAAAAAGTTGTTTGATTTCTATCCCTCATACTTTGCTGCTACCTTCCTTCTTAATTCTTGTGTTTGTATTTTACTACATTACCTGTTTACTGCAGAATCAATTAACATTAGTTCTTATACAACTAAGCAGTTGAACTCATTTTTAAAAACATAATTCAACCGAAAAATCATATTTTTCAGTTTAAATTTTAATAGCTCAACAACGGTGGACATTAGATGATCAGATGATTCTGTTGTCTGCCATATTCGAATCTCATTAGTCTGAATGAGTCTTACATCAAATTACATTGCTTTTTTTTACCCCGCTGACTGGGGAAATAAATCACCACGTTCATGACTCTGATTAAAAAAGTATTATGTTAAATTCAAATACTGTGCTCAATACTGATGACAATTCTCTTCGGTATCAAAATCAAATTCCGGTACTTCAAAATAAAAAATCAGCATAATTTCGTTGACGTCGTTGTAAATATTGGTCAAATAATATTTTCAAGAAACATCGAAAAAATGTAACAACAGGTTTAAAGCGTATGCGACATTCTAGTTTATGCAGCGGAAACGAATTAACTTTAGAAAACACTAAGAAAAGAAGTAAGCAGACTAATTTTTGACCAGAAAAAAAAACAAGCCAATAGACTTATATCCAAACTTTTAAGAAAAATAATTTCATAAAAGTGTTAGTTGGTTATCCGCCTGCCTGAAGTTACTTGGGAAATTAAATTGACGCAATTTCTTATTAACTGCAACTGGTGCAGAAAGAGTTTTTTTTCTGAGCTTTAAGGTTCGAAAAGCACATTTGGTCAGCCAATAAAACTCTTTCATAAGATCTTCAAAGTTTTCTGTGACTCCCCTTCCTCGCAAAAATTCTCTACCTATTCCAGTTTTTACACGGATTTTTTTTTGCAGAAGCAAATGTAGTGTGAACATATTAGGTATGGCCTTGGGTGCCTGTTATCAGTTCAGTTAGTATTTTTGTGCCATAGTTTTTCCGTATCTTTTCGGCGTTTCTGAGTGTCGGCTTGAATTCCGTCGGCTTATTTTTCGTATTGTTTTTGTTGGTTTTTTGCTACTTAAAAATCTAACAAAATGTTTTGAAAACATAAATCACTCTCCCAGATTCTTCTCAAAAAAAAAACTTAAGCATAAAAAAAAATTCATTTGAAAACTCTGTAAGAACATTTTTTTGTAATGATTTTCAGTTTACCCAAAAATTTTGTTTAAAACCTTGGATGCCTTTGATTGATCAATCAGCTGTTTCGATCATATTTTTTTCTGGTGTAGGTAATTGAGTTTATGGTTTTATCAATATTTTTTGTTCAATTTTGTTAAGTTTTTCAACAGCAAGTGAAAATGTGTTCTCATTGCCTTTTTAATCCATTTTGTTCTGAAAAATAGTTATTTTAATTGAAAACTGAGAACCGAGCCAGGTTGAGTTGCCAGAAAATCAGAATCAATTCCATTTAGTTTTTTTAGCAACTTCAATCGAAATTGCTAGACGATTTCATCCTTTTGCAATATCAACCTGCGTTGCTGTCTGCTTATTTTTTTTAAAAGAAGTTTTTCCTCCAATTTTGCGTAATCTCAATAAGTTAGAACATTAAAAACGGCGACCACGCAAGTTCGAACTGCTATCAAATCAGAAATTATTAATAACGGAGTTTTCAAAAATTTTGTTCAGAAGAGCTAGACGAAATTTTCGTTATGCTATGTCAACTAGTGCATTTGTTTAGTTTCTCCAACTTTGGGTAGTTTCAAAAAAAAAAAAAAATGAAAAACCAAGTTTTTTGGTTTTTTTTGGTCACTAATTTAAAAAATGTACTTATTTTTTCTCACTTGTAGCTAATTTGATTTGTTTTCGATCAAAACTTTTCTAAATAACAGTTCAATGGCACTGCTTTTTCACTAACATTGGGTCATTTTTTGTCTGTTTGATAAAATGTGTTTCTGTAAACATTTTGTTCTTGTCTGATCGGAATATTTTGGAAGCGAAAATCGGCTTGTTTATGGCTTCATTACTAATAAAAACCATTTGAATTTTCGTAACCATTGTCAAGTTCTCGCTTTTCCTTCTCTGTTTCATTCGTTTTTTTTCTGATTTATTTTTGTTGAACTCATGAAAAATCATTTTTAAGTTTTTGAATTTGTCACTTTCGCTAGCTTTGTGTTATTTTAGAAGCGTTTTCAGTTGAAGTATGTTGTGTTTCTTATATTATTTGTCTAAGCTTCTGAAAAATTGAATAGTTTTGTTCGGTATTTATATTTATCTTATTTAAAAAATAAATCGGACTTTGTGGTTTTTTGATCAATGCAGTTTGTCAATGGTTTCAAAAATGTCTTTAGAACCCTTCGATACATAGGATGCAATTTCAAAATGTCAGTAGACGTCAGACTGATTTTGTTGCTTATAACAATTTAAAAAAAGTTTTTGCACTGGTGTTGTAATCTGACTTTTCGATAACTTTTTTCATGGCTCGCAATTTTTGCATCGGAAGTGTTGCGAAGCTCTGATTCGCATCTGAGTTTAATAATTCATCCTTTTGAAAGCTGATATATCAACAAGTTTATGAAACTCGGCCCTTCCCCGATCCCCCATGTTTTTTTTGGCATATATTCGAAAATTTGTTCACTTTTTCCAGAAAATTTTTGGTCATAATTCGTTTTTAGTGCTATTTGGACAGCAGCTGGCGATTTTTGTTTGCATTTTATCAAAAACTATGACAAGGGTCCGAAAATCTCAATTTTGCAAATGTCTTTTTAGCCTTTTTCGGATCTAGTTCTCGGTATACGTCACAGAGGTCGGTATAAAACACGAATTGACAAATTGATCTATTAACTAATAGTTACATTTATAACAAAACTGAACTGTGGGATAGGAACAACATACTGAATAAAGAATCGATTCAAATCAAAGCAATTAGCGCCACTAAGGTAGATAGGTAATTCAATGCTCTTCCTCATACATATATATCATTTATGCAAGGTAATGTACACATCGAACCATTACTAATAAACAAAATAAATTCATAGCTGCACGCTATTTAATTAAACTGTGGTCATTTATTCACAACAAGTCTTTGAACGCTTCACCAGTTATGTCTTTATTTGCCTTCCGATCCAGTCCATAGTCGAAATATATATTTTTCAAAAACAAGCATGGGTTTCCAATATTAAATTGGTAAGAGGCTGACGCGGAGTGAGGGAAATTGGTAGACTGCAGGACTTTTCAGCTCAATTCAGATCAGGACTGTGTAAATGAACATACGTCTCGATTAGTCCGACTTAGTTGCATTTGTAAACCTTCAGTAATTTTCCAAACAACTTCTGAGCATTTAGGGGGGAAATATACTGCTTTTTATGTGCAGCAAAAGACACGTGTCGAGTCGTGTGATGTTGTTAACTTTGTAGGTTTAGGCGGGCGACACGGAATATTTATATTGCAAAGTGAAATCGATTGGTAAACAAGTCTCAGGTCAGGTCAAAGTTCAAATTGCATTGCATCTTCGTATCAAAACTAAACTTGGTTGAGATTTGAGGTTGGGAATCAAGCCACGTAGTGTAAAAGTGTGCTAAAACAAAAAAAAACGACTTAAATGAACATCTACAATAAACCGAACAAAAAAGTTAAACATCAGGGATTTTTTAAAAACTATTTCCCCTTATGGCAATAAAGGGGAGATTCATTAGAAGGTATTAAATTCACACATGCTTAACCATTAAATTAGCTCTCTATGAGTGGAGAAGGATTACTATGTATCATAAGGTGGACAGAAAAAGAAACCCAACATCAGAAATCAATGTAAGCTAATGTGAAAATAATACTTTCACAAAAGTTACGAAAAGGTGGTTAATAGAAAAACTTCCTTTGTAACGGGAAATGAGACCAATTAAACTTACGAATCGTCCCGATCTCTGGCGAGGTAATCTCTTTCAATTAGATTCTCAATGCGCTTTTTGATGACTTGAGGAATTGGCTTGAACCTCGACTTCAGCTGCTCCGTAACCTGAAACGAAGCAAAATCCCTATCTTTAGTTTTCCAATAAACTATGTAGTATGTTTGACCTGGATTCTATTTTTTTTAAAAATGGCACGATCTTTATTGTTGTAGCCAATTTTAGCCCCAATTTATAGCTATTTTCTTTACTCGCAGCGCATAATAAACCTCAAAAATTTAATGAAAAACAGTGACCGCAATTTTTGTCGAACATCTTCAAACAATATGGCCTAAACTATTCCCATTAAACGTTATCTCCAACTTTGAAAAAGAGTTCGACGCGTTTTCTGCAGCCCATCAAATCAAATACAGCTCTGAGTTCTGCGCATAAATTCAATGTGTCTTACCTCCGACACGAGTTGGTTGTGGACTAGCTGTCTGCGCGACTTCATGATTCTCACAATTGCCGCCTCTATCTCGTGTTTCCTGTCATCCTCCACCTTCTCCCTCGTCTCCTTAGTCTCTGGCTCGCTCTCCTTCGCCTGGATATTCGTCACTCTGATCTTGAACAACTTCGAGTAGAAGTCGTCATTCACACAGAATGAGTCAGTGGGCTCTAAATACAACACTCCCTTTTAGATTAATTGAGATGCAAAACAAGTTAGATTCTGGAAATCTGGATCTCTAGGGAGTTTTGAAACCTCAAAAATTTAAACCACTGACGAAACTAGAAGTCGATCACACTTTCCGCGACCTTTACACTTTTGCTGTTCGATAGTGGAGTTTGCCTTCTTTTTAGCACACTCTGAATTTAGCTTTCCCATTTTAATTATGTATGTAAAAACCATGACATTATCGATGTGATATGTTTAGACTTGAAAAAGCGTTTGATTCTGTCCCAAAACAAATTACTTGGGAGTTGTGAGCCAGAAAGGAGATTTTGAAAAGTTTCAATTAGATATCAGAATTTCTTGTTAGGTGCCGACAGAGACTTGTTATAAAAGATACAAATTCGTAATAGCGGCCAGTTAAAAGTGGGATGTCCCAGGGATCAGTCTTGAGTCCAATACTAATTTTAAATTATATGATTTCAAGGCCAGATAAAATAAAATCGAAAATCTTCCTATTCGCAGGCGAAGCTAAATTTTGCCGTCTAATTCTAAGAGATTATGATCAACTCAAACTGGAAGATAACCAACAGGAAATCGACAAAAGATCAAAACAAAGTTTTCTTTCTTTCAACCTACATAAATGCTTACAGATGACATTGCTTAGGAAAAGTAATGATAAAGTTGAGAAGTTTGAAATTAACGGAAAAGATCACGGAAGATAGAACTGAAAAAGACATTAGTATTTGGTTAGACAACAAGATTACACTCGAAACACACGAAAAAAAGTTTCAGAGTCAACTCAATGATTTCAATTGTGAAAAGAACATTCCCGAAACTTACAAATGATATATTTCTAAAAATCTACCAAGTATTGATTCGACCGCACTTGGAATTGACCAGTATTAAATGGTACCCCTGACTGCAAAACATAAACGTATCTTATAGAATATGCATAGAAAACGAGTGACTCCAACAGTTATCAAATTACAATCGCTTCAAAAGTCTCGACTTCTCATCACTTGAATACCGAGGAAAACAGGGACGATGATTGAAAGGTTTAAAATTGTTATAGATTCAACGATAGATAAGCCACTGTCAACCTATTTGAGCAGAATAAAAGAGACTGAAGGAGTAACGACTGCAAGGTAGTATTGAAGGAATCAAACATGGACATCCAGAAAAGACTTTCATTTCGCAAGGACTTTCATTTCGCTTGATTACAGCTCAATTTAATAATTCGCAAAGAGATTTCGAAGCAGTGAGACAGCGTCGAATAGCAAGTATTCTTGTATCTGGACAGAGCCCTGAATGTTCCTCCGACTGCCAAAATAATTGACGAAAATATAATTTTTATAGCCCACAGCGATATCAAGTGCCAAATGATGAAATAAGATCGTGTGGCTATTATGAACTAGCTTTGCATTTGAACAATTCGCAGCATTTTGAACCCGGAATTTCTCACTGCGGTCTAAAAATTCACGCTGAGGCGTTGAGTATCATAGATAAACACTAAAAACCGTGCGTAACCGAGTCGAAACGGTGTATTAAATTACTGAATAAGAAAATTACGAGTGACAAAATTGAGCGAAAGAAATAACCCAAATCAACAAAAATCCCGAAAGAGGCGCAGTGGAGCCTCGAAAGACTTGCGATAATGTGAAAAACACATTGCGGTATAGGACAGTGAATGCAAAAAGACTCGAAAAGTTTCTTAAATTAGGCTGAAAAAATAACTTGAAAAATTGACAAAAAAACAGCTACAAAACTCCATAGTTGTAGAGGATGAATTTCAAAAGCAGCTTTAAAACTATCTGGAAATCATTCAACGAGCGGCAACAAATTTTCGATCGATAACTGTTGAGCCGAAAACAAAATGATACAAAATCGCATGCGAATATATTTGCCCTCAAAATTACACAAATAAAGTGACCAAGCCGATATAACATTAACTGAAATTGTTTAAATATTTTTTAAAATAAAAAACCCAAAATGAGAGTGGTAACCTTTCCAATTACTGAACTTTCAGTTAGAGAAAGAAAACTTCAAATTTGAACAAAAAACATGCTTTAGAAAGTAAGCCAAACAAAAAATCGTACCAGATAAAAAGGTATTCTAAAAAAATCGGAAAATGAACCGACCTAAACTAAGGCGAAAACCAAGATCATGGAAAAAAAATTCGACATTTTTTTTTTGAAAAAATAAATACAACCGGAACCGGGCTTTGCCCAATTACTACTTAAAGGATGATAGTTTTATTTGAATTTTGAAGGAATTGAGCATGCCAGTGATATTTACCATTCCTACTTAATTGACCATTCTGTTATTGACGGGAAAAAAGACTCGTACCCGATTGCAATACCTTTGCTAATCGCAAGGGTAATAACTGGTTGAAAAAAATTTCCACTATGTTTTCATTTTCTAACAATAAAAGTTAATTGCTTATGGTAGTTTTTCAAGCTTATCTACTCATTGCCTACTAAGTTTCAAGAAAATGCCACTTTCTGAAAATTTTGGAAGCGCAAAAACTTAGATGAGTTTGTTTCCCTGTTTGAGTTTGATTCTATTATAGCGTGAGCGAAGCAGCATGGAATCTGTGATCGTTCATTGGTGTAAAAAAAATTTGTTGATCAATTTCCTTTGTTTTTTTTGCATTTTTCTTTATCATTGTTGTTTAGATTGATTGAGCTATCGATGTTTGTACTATCGGGTTCCTCTATAAAAAATTTTAACAAGGACAACCTCGCAGACAGATTTAGAAAAAAGTTTGTAGTTTTTTTAATATATATTTTTTTCTATTTTGTGGAGCTTTAAAATATGTATAAATAATGTATAATCAAGATTGTTTTAAATTTTGGCTATTAATTGCGTCCGGGCAGAGCCCTAAAAGGCTTGCCTTTTATCAAGTCGCTCCCATATTATAAAATATCGTGATTCAACTTTTGCCTGCATTCTGTTTGCTATTGGAGAACAAAACTTTCTTCTTCTTTCTTCGAAGAACTCAATCACCCGCAAAAAAATATACAAAACACATCAAAAATCTAGATTGTCTTTTAAAGCAAACTATTTGGAAAAATAGTCAATAAAATTCTTATTAGCATGAATTTTTCACACACTAAATGGTATAATCATAGATGGCTAAATATTTTTCAATTACTTTAACTTTCTTAGAGCATTCTCAATCACTTATCTTACAAAGCACTTTAATTAGAAACGAAGCACACATTGAGCGTTTAAAATAACGTCAGTGGGAATTTTTCTATTTCTTTTTCAATATTTAAAATAAGTATGCTTCTTCATTGTTCTTCCAAACATTTGGAGACAAGATACCTACTTGACAAAATAATGCAGCAACCATGGTTTTTTTTTTTCAAAAAATTTTAAGCTTTGTTTTGTAAAGACGGCTAGAACGGATGTTTATAACCGCTTAAGCAAGGCAACACAAAATCTATTTCGTATTATGAACCTACGCTCAATTACGTAATAATCAAGCATAGTCAACAGAAAGCTAAATAAACAAATCGAAAACATTTGAATACGTTTCAACTTTCGAAAATATATATCACGTTAAAGCTTTTTTGATATTCAAGCACAGTTTATGCTTGAAAATTTTGGAAAGAATAATCTCAATTAAAGGAAACTGGATCAATGATTTAAACTTTTATTCCCCGAGAAATCTATAAATTAAAATCTACTTTCGAAGCTAGTAGTTCACATTTTTTCGCACCATTTCGGCTTTCGTAATTGGAGAGCGCAATTTGTCTTACTTTTAGCAGATGAATTTGGATTGCACTACAAATGAGCAAATATAATTAAGTGCATTTATAGAGCATTTTAACTTTTTGCTATGAAAGAAAAACAAAAAATTATCAAAACTTAAATAAGTGAAAGTCAACTCATTCTTTTCATATTACTTGATAAACGAAACTAACAATCAGGGGTTGAATTAGGAACGGTACTCACTAACAAAAACCTTAAATAATTCTCAAGACGTTTTTGGCGCAAAAAAATTGATTGCTCATTTTCTGATTGCATTTTTTCATGCATATGCCTGTGACGACGCAGAAGATTGGCAAAAAAGGTTTTTAAATGTTTCAGGACAGTTCGAGAGCTCAAAACTGTCAGTCCAAATTATTTTGATGATTTTCTTTTTTTTCGTTAAATTGCGTTCAAATTGCGATTCAACTAACATTTTCCTGACCAATCAAAACTTTCCGTGTCTTATGCACTAAACAACCAAAAATAAGTATTTTTACATATCTTGATCTGAAGTTAATGTGGTTCAATTTGATTGGTTAATTAGCCCATCAAATCAAACATGGTCCGGCGTTTCAATTAAATTTCCGAGCAGATAAATTAATTGGCCGAAATGACGGAAACGATAGAATTTCTTTTTCCGTTGAAGCCATTTTGCTTAACCATTTTCCGTCTGGGCAAATTTTCACAAAAAAACAAGAAATTTATTTTATTACTAGAAAAGTATCAGTTTCGGTAAAATCAGCTATTATTTTTCTGCTGGAAAAGTTGATTGAAATGCTTGAACATGTTGCTTGAATTCTACCACATAAGTTTAGCTTAAGATCTAAAGATTTTAATTTTGGGCCTATTAGTGCAACTTTCATTTAAGCAAGACGAGACCCACAAGCAAAACAGAGCAAAGCACTAACAAAATTCTCACAAGCAATTGAAGAATAGCCAAGCAAAATAGCCAACATAATTAAAAAATCAAGAGAGATTGAAGCAGCGAATGAAAAAAGCAAGACAATACAGAACTATGCCTTGGAATAAAATCAACATCAAAAAAGTTCTCAGACGAACGGGTTAGACCACTGACCTACCGAACAAGTCATTTTTCATAATCACTTAGACAAGGCATCTAGGATTAATCGACTTGCGAGAACACGACCAAAAAGCAGCTCTATCAAGTGAAATAAGAAAAAGTAGAAATAAGCCTCGAATCAGTAAGAACTCAGCTACGTGTCGGATTCCAATGTGCGACTTAGCAAATTTGAGTTTCACACACTAACCACTAAGCCACGGATGCTTAAAATCCCCAAAAACTAGCCAACAATAACACAGCTACATATGCTAATAAATTACCAATTCGATGCAGAAAAAGTCTCACTAAATACAAAAAGACACAATTTTGCATGTAACTAATTGGATAGCATAAAGCCAAATTATGTATAAATTATACATTTCAAAAAAATTTCGAGACACATTGAGTTGAAAAACTTCTGAAATCGAGCTTTTTATTATTGTGCTGCTGCTTGAATACAAATTTTTTTTCGTATGATAAGTTAACACAAAGACGAAGCTGTCTTCGCAAACACTTGCGAGAACACGACCAACAAACAGCTCTATCAAGTGAAATAAGAAAAAATAAAAATAATCGACCTACTACAATCAAGAAATTTTGAGCCCCGCGCACTATCCACTCAGCCACGCAAGCTAAAAAACCGACAAACACTAGTCACGAACAAATCTGCTAATAACCTGCCAATGCAATTCAGCAAAAGTGGCACAAAATATAAATAGACTCAATTTTACATGTTATAATTTGGAATATCACAAAGTCAAGGCATCCACACTAGCTTTGCATGTAACAAATCGCAAAGCATAAAGCCAAATTATGTATTAATTATGCATTTCAAGAAATTGCGAGATATATTGAGTAAGAAAATTTCTGAAATCGAGTTTTCATGATTGTTATGTTGTTTGAAATAAATCAATTTTTTCGGTTCATTTGACGAATTAAAAATGCATCAACTTTAAAAGTTATTACAATTCGAATGTCAAAGCACATGCTATCAAAAAGCTGTAAAGGTGCCCCACCATTATTGGGGTGCCACACCATCCATAAAAGTGTCGCACCAATATGTGCGACTTAGGTAGGAAAAAAGAAGGTTCGTACTAAAACACCCGCTTCGCAAGTGTAATAATGCATCAGCGGTGTTAACTTCCTACTAATCAAATGTCGAAGCACATATGACATAATACTGCTACCGCACCCTACGAATTCAAAGTTGCCACCAAAAGTAGCACTTTTATTTGCGACTTAGATTGGAAAAAAAAGTTCGTACTAAAACACTTTGCTTCGCAAAAGTGAAAATCCATGCTGTTCTTAGATAACCGGCAGCAAAGAATGCGATTCAATAAAAACGGATAGAGCTAAAGCATCGCGCGTAAATTATGCATTAACTTAGCACAAAACTTTGCATAGACGACTTTGGTTGGAAAAAATTGGATTTTCATTGCAGCTGCAATCATGGCTTCGAAAGGGATTTGATCTTTCAGGTCCGAAAGACAAAAAAAGCATATATCATATGTAATTATGGTCCAGCTCGATACAAAAAACATATGAACAAAGCGTTCTTTGACCGACACAATTGAGAAAGGTTAAATGATAAAACATAATACACTTGAATATTTTCCCAAATCTACCTTTCACTTTTCTTTTGAAAATACTGCTCACCAATTTCTTTAGTTTTTGGGGTCTTCACTAGAATTCTGTTCTGGGGTTTGCCCACTGCTATCGCCTGGAGGGCCCTGGCAGCCTCTCGTTCAGGTATGCCTGTGTCGTGGAGCACATCTGCAAATGTGATTCTGTCTTTGCGGTTGAACAGCAACAGAATCACCATCTGGTATGTTGTCACTATCAGGATGTTTTCTCGTGTCATGTCTTTCTGCAGGGAAAACAACAAATGCCTCTGGTTTGGAATTATTTTAACCCAGTAGTTGATTAGATAACTTTTAAGTTGTTGTATTTATGAGATTGGGATTTAATTACATCTCAAATTTTTGGGATCAGCTTTTGCGTACTTTTCGGAGCGCAGAACACCTGAAATCTAGTGTATACCGCAGGTAAACTTCAACTATAACCAACTCAACATCCTCCAATTAAATTGTTCTGAAGATTTATTCGTTAACTAGGCATATATAGCTGATGTATGCATATATAGCTGCTGCATTAATCGGTAACAACTGCGCGTCGTTTTGAATTAACTTGTGTTGTTCACATGGCATGACAGACATGGCAACTACTCACATCTGTTGGGTAAAATGTGGCCTTGATATCGGCACTGCCCTTATTGGGTTGAATGATGAGTTTGCGACCACTGTGTCTACTCAAGTAGAAGTTCCTGAAGCACTCGAACGCCTGTTCCAGATTGGGAGGCATCATGCAGTCACTGCTCTGAACTGACGAGGGCCAGTTGCCACTTGTTAGCACCTGTCAATCAATCATATCTGTCAATCAATCATACCTGTCAATCAATCATAAGAAAATTCGGTGCTTTACGTTCCAGGGCAAACTTGATTGGCCATTGAGGGCCCAGGGCAAACTTGACGGGTCATTTACTAAGTTACCCTTCCTACTTTGCAGGTTTAGGTGACGATCTTAGTTTAATTTTGTCTGAGAAATAGCCTACAACTTCGTATCTCTTTCGAACAAAGTTTGACTATTCTGCTATTTTTGAATAAATCTCAAATTAAAGCAGCTTCTTTTTGATTTGTATTGCGGCTCACCTTGACATGAAAGTCAAACATCATGTTGGCCACGTATGTGGACCTCTTGAAAGACTCGTTGAGTGTTGTTGATACTGAGATATCTTTGAACATGCCCTCCAGTTTGCCGGTAAACTGGGAACCACACTCCGTCTAAACATCAAACAACAATTTAAACCAATCTAATCTGAACGAAAAAGCACAACTACTAGTTGAAATGACTTTTCACCTCCGTCAGCCAAAAAAAAGAACAGGAAAATTGGGAAAAAGTTTGAAAAAACATTGTTTGAAGATTCGGTAAAACTTTAACAGTAACATTCACCTTCAGTTTTGATATCATAGTTCTCTCGTGGTCCTCCACAGCGGACTTGCCACTGAGGAGTCTCTTGGACAGGTGCTGCTTGTAGTATCTCTCAAAGATGTCCTTCTCATTCAGGAAACGGAAGATGACCATCACTTTGTCCAACAGCTGTTCCACTGTCTCTTCTGTGGCCTAGAAAAAGAAGTTGTATGCCCATAACAAATACAATTTAAGTTTTCGGAACACCAGGAAAAGATTCGATATACATTTAAAGTGATGATCTAACTTCTGTGGATTTCATTTTTTGTTTGTTTTGATGGGCGCTACAGAAATGCTTCACCATTTCTGTAGCGCCCATCAAAACAAATAAAAAATGAAATCCACAGAAGTTATATCATAACTTTCCGCAGTTTAACTTCAGTTGAGGCTGAAGTCATTATCTAGACATTATTGATGAGGAACTGATACCAAATTGAACCAACAAACAAAGCCAACAGACAGTTGGAAAATAGTCAATGAAAGTAAGTAACAGAAAGAATTTTGACATGTTTTTTTGAAAAAATCCGAACTTTCAAATTTCCAAGAAAAAAGACGCTGTTAAAGCTCTTCGAATTTCTAGAACAGGTTATGAAAGGCAATTTTTTGATAAAATCAATCCAATTTCAGGAAACTGGTGCAATCAGTAAAATTTTTACTTCGCTGGGAAACCTGAAAATTAAATTCCACTTTCGAAGATAAAGTCGATCATGTTTTTCGTGACTTTTGAACTTCAATGTTCGATATGGTAGTTTATGTTCCGAAAAAGTAAATTTGAGCCTGAACAAATTTTTAAAAATTTTCCTGAAAAAAATCATCGCGACCTATATAAGAGTCTGAGCTACGTTCATCGACTCTTAATCAAACATTGCCAACTGACAGTTAGAAAAGAGTAATGAACGCAAGGAAAGTAAAAAAAAACTGACCTGTTTTTTTGAAAAACCTTCAACTTTTGAATTTCGAAGAAAAAAATAGATGACCTTAAAGCTCTTTGAATTTGTAGAACAATTGATGATTGCCACTTTCCTGATATAATTAACCCAATTTGAGAAAACTGCATCAATAGATAAAATTTTTACTTCGCTTGGAAATCTGATATTTAAATTCCATTTTTGAAATTAAGTCGATCACGTTTTTCGTGACCTTTATACTTTCGCTGTTCGATAGTGGAGTTTGCCTTCTTTTTAATAAAGGAAATGAAGAGTACTGAAAAATAAATCAAAAGTCAAACCGCAAAAAAATAAAATTGAGGTGGACAAATTTTGAGAACTTATAGAACAAATCACCAAGACCTACATAAGAGTAATCACTACGTTCATTACTCTCAGCTAGCAAATTTTTCTAGTGATTTAATGAAAAAAAACTAGAATTTTTACATTGAATCTATCAAAAATGCCAACTATCAACTTACTGCTCTGAGTCCACCGCCCTTCCAGACTTTTTTGAACTTGTCGTCTACGTAGAGGGACAGGTACTCTGGGGAGCGGGAGTTGAGGTTGACGAAGTGCTCGAAGTCGCCGTTCACCGTCTGCTTCAACTGTTTGTCATTGTCAAATGCCTGCTCCATCAGCTCATTGTACTTGTCCTTCAGCTCCAAAAGATTAGTAACGTACTAAACAATATTTAACCCAATCATGCATCGAAAAGTAGCACTAAGAAACCTAAACCCCACCCAAATCCCCCGAGACTTGAGCCACGTTCGGAAAATCATCCGAAGATATCGCATTGTTTACTTCTTCAACGAAATTATACATATTTCAGCTAAGTTGATTTATATATTCGGAATGATAAATCGTTTTTTCTCACTCAAAATTTGTAAAATTACAAGGGTAAAAAACCAGAATAAAATAATTTGACTAGCCTGAACTGGATCTACGGCGATGTCATTTCTGTTTTCCTCTGCCACTAGTGTCTTTCCCTCCTCCCTAAGGTGGTTGCTGATACATGTGCATATAGTCTTCAGTCCATTGTCCACCTGTTTCAGCAGCTGGTACAGGCACCTCAGATCTGAACAAATGAAAAACTTCATCTCATGGCGATTAACTTTTACTATCGGACGAAGAAATGGACAAGGCAAGTCACACCTTTCTTATCTCAAATACACAGTATGAACAAAAACAAATTTTGATCCAAGCAAAAGTGCCCATGCTCTGGGGCTAAAATTGAAGCCAGCAAAACCCCACTTGCACTTTCTTACTTGCGTTTGCTTATTCAAAAACCGCGAGAACCTTTTTTGATGCTTGGTTTTTTAAGGATCTTTCATTTTTGATAGCACACACATTAGCTGACCTGCTATTTTCTGATTCTTCAGCATAAACACGACACCAGATCCAGGCATCTAAAACAAGAAAACTATAATTTGAGAGCAAACAAGATTTTAATTCAAAAGAAATCATTTTCCCAAGCATTGCCCCCAGAGCTGTTTGAAAAAGGCCAGATCCATCGCAAATAGGAGCGAAATGAAGCGATCGATCGAATTGCAAACACAATCATTTATCGCAAGTTTTACCAATAGCACAGGCAAGCTGAGATAATTAGCTAATACAGAGAGACGAAGCAGAGCTTCGCACCACTTGCGATGCAAAAATTGTAAGTCAAAAAAAATTATCGAAAAATCAGATTACACAATTGCTGCAAAAACATTTTAAAAAATTATATAAGCAACAAAATCAGGCTATTTCCATTTTAGTGTTAAACCTGCCTGCTATGCATCGAAGTCTTTCGACGACACGCGATCGAACCATTGGTAAGCTGAAATGATGAAAGAACCAAAAACCACTAACTCTGATTACATTTTCAAATAAGAAAATGAAAGGCATATAAATAGATCGAACAAAATTACAATTTTTCAAAAACCTAGACAGACCAATTAGATTAGAAAAACAACAAACAAGATCTGAAAAACCTGAAAACGATCCTAAAAAACAAAATCAGCGACAATGAGAAATTTCGCAACCGCAAACATTTTCGAAAATCAATTCCACAACAATTCAAAAACTTAAAACTTATTTGATATTAGTTCAAAAAAAAAGATCAGAAAAAAAACGAAAGAAACACGAAAAACACAAGAACTAGAAATACACATGATTTTGAACAGCTATGTAGCCAAAATAACACCGATTTTCATTTCAAAAAAAATCCGATCAGACAAGAAAAACAAGTTGACAGAAAAGAAAACGTACCAAAAAATGCAAAAGAAAAAAATTTACCAATTAAAATAGAAAAAGATATGCCATTGAATTATTCTCTAGAAAGATGTGGTCCAAAAACAGCTCAAAATTAACTCCACGTGAGAAAAATTAAAATTTTGTAACCCAGCGATCAAAAAAAGGAAAAAAGATAAGTTCACCAGGCTGTTTCAATTAAAAATCGAAACATTTGATATTGATACCACTTCAAGCTTGCTTGGTTCCCAAAAAACACCGATTTTCATTAAACAAATGAAATCCGATCAGACAAGAACAACAAGTTGACAGAAAAAAAAACAGTTTTCCAAAAAATCGATTAGAAAAAATTAACTAAATATTAAAGAAAAAGATGTGCCATTGAATTATTCTCTGGAAAGATGTAGTCCAAAAACAACTCAAAATTAACTCCACGTAAGAAAAATTAAATTTTGTAAATTAGCGATCAAAAAAAGGAAAAAAGATAAGTTCGTCAAGCTGTTTCAAACAAAAATTGAAAAATTTGATATTGATAGCATTTCAAGCTTGCTTGGTTCCCATTTTTACTGTCCAAACACAATGAAACAAAAAATTAGCAGACAGCAAATCAAATTGACTTTGCGAAACGATGAACGCGACTAGCAATTTTAATTTAAATTATCAAAAATTTTGACTTTAATTAATTCTGATTTGCAGTCAATTCGGGCTGGTTGGTTCTCGTTCGATTTTCAATTGTAACAGCTACTTTTCAAAACAATATGAGTTAAAAGCAATGAGAAAAACTAAGCAGTTAGAAAAACTTTACAGAAAAAAAAACAAAAAAAAGTTGTGAAAACAGCTGATTGAACAAACAAAAGCATAAAAGGTTAAAACCAAAGTCGCTCCGCAAACTGAAAACGTAAGGAATTTTTAAAATGAAAAAAAATCCCAAAAAAATCCAACAGTTTTTCCATCTTTAAAATTTTATTTAAAAGGGTCTGGGAATGTGATTAAGATTTCTCCAAAACATTTTGTAAGACTTCAACCATGCTTATAAAAACCAGCAAAAAGTAATTGAAAAAAAAATCATTCAGAAACAAAGCGGAAACTCAAGTGCCGAAAAAACGAAATTTTTTGGCCCAAAAAATACTATTAAAGGAACTCATAACGGGCACACCAGGGCCAAACCTTACATGCAAATACTACATTTAACTCTGCAGTATAAGACGTGCGAACGAATTCACGGGCGAATTCTGTGGACAAAGTTGTTTACGAGAAAAATTCTAGAACACGGTTGCAATGTCCTTGCTTATCGCAAGGGTAATGAGACACAACTCATGGGTCAAAAGGCCGAGTAGACGAGTGATGCAAAAAATCTCATAACTCGATCAAGTATTTCGTGCTCGGACTACAAAGAGGATGTAACTGACCTCTACGATGGGGTTCATGTGTTGTTTGATGAGTTCGTCCCGCATGACTCGTTGGATCTCGGACTCTGTCCTGCCGGCGAAGCACTGCTGGGCCCTCTCCATCTCCTCCTGCATCCTCTGCTGCACTCTGTGGATGTACTCCGAGGCACTGTTCTTCGCCAGCAGCTCCTGCGATTCCAGCTGAAACATCACAAATCAGTCTAAAGCTAAAACAACATAAAGCAGTCTTCCAACTCGTAATAGACACCGAAAGCTGTTGAATTCATTACGGTGCCTATAAATGAAGAACATTCATCAATAATTTCACAACAGCAGATAAATTATCAACCATTCAAGATGGTTTTAGTGACGGCAAACTTTTCCACTCGAAGTTGGTTTAGTAACACTTAAGCTATGTTTTTCCTTATTGGCAAAACAACAGGGGAAAATTCGTCTCAGGGACAATTTACTAAAATTACCAGTTTAGTTAATGGTTGGATGACAAAACAATTCATTTGAAACATCTATGAATTGCCGTAGCAGACCTTCGCACCTTTTACTGGTTTGGAACAATAAAGCTGATCGTAATCTGGCCAAAAATGACGGAGTGTTTAAAAATGCCAAAAAAAAAGTTTTTCAGTGTCGAAAAAATTTTTCTGTTCTTAAGTCCGAAAACATCTCAGATAACATGTTTAACAATTAATTGACAAAGTTTTCTAGTAGTTTTCAATGTTTAAATGAAAGTTCTTTGGTGAAATGTCCCCGTTCTCATAAAATTTGAGCAAATAATTTTTTCCTCTTTGAAAGTGTTGTGATTAACTCATTGAATAGAGAACGAACATGAATCCTGATCATGTCGCATCCCCTGCTCAGCAACATACTAATTCTAGTTCAGAGGGGCTGCCCATGCTTAAAATTCAGGACGAAACCCCATTTGTCAGCCAGGGATCAAACGACAGAGTACCGTGCTAAGTCCGTGTGGGTAGATGAATGAGGAGGAAGATGCAAGCTGAAATTTATTGATTCCCAAAAAAGGACGAAGCGAAATCCAGTTCCATCTAAAGTTGAGGCCAAATGTATGGAACGACATCAAAGGTCAAATTGAATAACTGATAACATCAACCATTGCTGAAGCGGTCACTGCAATGAAGGAAGAAGTACTTAGAGTAGTCAAGAAGATTTGGTCCATATCAAAAGCAGGTCAAGTCTAGAAAGCCTATCCGAAGCAGAAATTATTGAAAGCTACAACAGGAGAGACAACGTGAAATATCTAAGAATCCCAGAAAAGCGAACCATGGTAGACGCAAAACAATGGAGGCAACCATTAAAAAATTTGCATGTAACTAATAGTATTGATGCTCAGATTTTGGATCAAGACATAACAATAGCGCATATGGTACCTTCCTGAATGACTAGAGACAAACCTATCATTCTTCGTTTTGCTAGGCGAGTGAAAAAGTCCACGTACTTCAGAGCAAATATCAACTTGGCTCATCCGATCTCTATCGAAATGTGAAAAAAATCGAAGATAAAAGTTTTGCTTGAAATTTTTTTTACGGATGATGAAAGCAGATGCGCGGATTCAATCAGCATGGACAAAAGAAAGCTCTATCTGTTACCTATGGTAAAAAAATATGAAAAGCGCTTGTTACTGGCTTATATGAAAGAGGTGATATTTTGGGTTATAATATTACGTGTTTTTCCATATAACTCCGGCAACGTGGGCTCAAAAGTCTGAACTTATTAGCTTATCTCGGGCTCAAAAGTCTGAACTTATTAGCTTATCTCCAATTAGTCTCCAACTAATGTACTGTGTTTAACCAAAACTTGGCTAAATGAAACAGATGAAGTAAACATGTGCAATCAAAGTGTTTCATACAATTATAAGCAAAAACCGGAAACCAGAGGTAGAGGTACTATGAATCAACTGGATGAAAAAGTAAAACAAATTAAGCAACTGCATAGTAAAAAGTCCACTTAAATCAGCAGCAGTCTTTGCTGAAGCATTTGAGAATTAGATAATCATAGTAGTCGCAAAGTAACTCCTAGATAAGATTTTTAAAAAAAAATTGTCAATGAGTTCCACAAGTAATTCAACAAAACAACGGTAGCTCAAGCTGGTGATTTCAACATAAAGGTATCGCAGAAAATCATAACCATTACCGCAAAAAAATTGAACTAATAAGTAGAAATGCAACTCGCATTAATGGGGTGACTGTAACGTGTATTGATCATCTGATAGCAAGATAAATTGAAAAACCGTCCGTCCGAATTCTTGAGAACGAACGCTTCTCAGATCTTTGTCCAGTTATTTTGCAGCTCAAATTGACGCAATTTGATTTGTTAGATTCCTCATGTACTTCTTGAATAACGAAAATAATGCAAGCGACTTTCTACTCCTTTTGAAGCAAACGCAGGAGAGATCTAATTTGGTCAAAGAGTCACAAAACAATGACGCATATGAGAAATTCAGTGCAATAAATTTTATTAAAATTTGATCCGATTAGAAAATCAACTGCAAAAGATACCAAATTGAGTGCGCCTTAGTTTACAAAAAAAGACAAATTGCTATATTAAAACGTAACAAACTGCATTAGTCATGAAAACTTCATTCTAATAATATTGAGAAGAAAAATAACGTTTTACATGGAAAAGCTCCTTATAAAAAAAGCGAGAAAAGAGATTATTATTTTGACAAACTCAAAAATTGTATTGGAGACTCGAGACTAGTTTCAAAACAAATAAATGAAAGAAAAAAAAATCAAAAACGAAGCGATGAAATTTCTGCTCTGCAACAAGACGGAGTAAGTACTTCAGATCCAAATGTTATTTCGACTGCTTTCAATGAAACCTCGTTTCAATCGGAGCAACACTTGCTAGCAAAACGGAAGAAGCTGATGCTATCGTTCAAACTACAAGTGCCAGTCAATCATTGCGCCTTTTCAATTGCTCAAACACTGAGACTTCAAATGTCGAAAATAGTCTCAAGCCATAGCGCTCTTGCGGCATTGATGAAACAAGTAATATAATACTAATTAAAAGCTGTTTTTTCTTTGCTCCATATTCACCATATCTAATCAACGCATCAATTAAAAAGGTACATTTCTCCGGCGCTTGAATATGCTAAATTTTTGCCACTATATAAACCTGAGAGTAAGTTAGATTTTAACAACCACCGTCCCATGGCTCTTTAGAGTAGCTGTGACAAAGTATTCGATAAAATCATGCACTCTCTGTTGTGCAATTGATTGTCTTGAGAACTTTAAAATCATTTATGAGCCTTCTTAGCTGAATTTACTGAAATAATATGAATGTGTAAAGACAAAAAATCATATGCAGTTTCTTTGTTGATAAAAAAAAAGCATTTGATACTCTTTATCAGAATTCTGTTGAATAAACTTGTAAATTATGGTGTCTGGGGTAGTTGTCTTTCTTGCTTTAATAGATAAACGTCTCAAAGGTTCCAATGTGTTCATGCAAACAACTGCTCGTCCGATTGGTTACCAGTAACCAACGGCGTTCTGCAGGGTTCCGTTTTAGATCCGCCTCTTCTTAGTTTTATAAATCATTTGCACCATGCTGCATCGAGTTCAAACGTTTTTCAAATGGCTGATGATACAAATGTAGCATAAGGTAGCACAAGTTTTCATTTCCTTTTAGCATAATCTAACAAAAATTTCGGCTTGGATGAAATCAAATAAATTAACCACTAATCAGCTTTCAAAAAAGTAGAATTGATGCTAGCCTTCATATTTTATTGATGATATTGTTTACAATCCCAAGACGCTGTGTAAGTACTTAGGCTTAATACTAATTATTATTGATTAGGCGTGATAATGATTACAAGCTGACATTTATTCGTCAAATCCAAAACTAAAAACGAAATTAGGGAAGCATCGCGGTGTTGTTTCAAAAATGAGGCATTGTGTTCCGAAATCTGTTCTACTAAATTACTATAATGCTAACATAAAGCCCAAATTACAGTATGACTTGCTCGTGTACGATGGTAAAACTTCATCAATTTTGAATCAAGTTCTAATGTACCAGCGGAAAAAAATCTAATATTTTTCAAAAAAAAATTAAAGACTTGAATCAAAATTATATTTTGATATAATTTTGACTGTCCATGAAGTATATGTTTATGATCTATTTGTCTGAGATCTTTGAATAGTAGAAACCGGAATGAACATCTATATTCTTTGTTTTCCTCCAAAACATTCGTTTATAAAACCACGACTTCGGTTAAATTAACCTATTCCCCTGCTTTTTGCTAAAAAAAATTAAGTTGTACTCATTAACTAATAGAGATTCAAGGTTTCTAAATATATTGAGCTAGAATAATCTTCTGCCCTTTAACAAAAGCATCATGACAAAAAAAATGAATTTATATTTGTCCACGAGTTGAGATACAATTAGATCCCAGGTAATAATGAGTTGGTGCATAGTGTATTTAACTGAACTTTCCATTCAAAATCGGCGCTCAATCTGAATGCTATGAGAAACCCATCTGAGGCTCTGATACTAATAAAGCGTTTAACGAAAAAAAACAAAGGCAAAAAACTCCAAAAATCAGGTTCAGCGAAATTACAAATTCCTGAAAAAAAACTTAAAACACTTTCAGTTACAATCAAAACTGCTTACAGCACAAAAATCTTTGGCACCTAAGCAGACAAAATATAAGCAGAAAAACAATAGGCCGACAAATGAAAAACTGGTTCTGACCAGTTTCGATTAAAGGGCATTTGCCATTCCGGCTGTAGTCATTCTCTCGCGACCGAATAGTCGGGAAAACCTAAAAACTTTGCGAATATTATGAACCAAACTACCAAATAATTCAACTGATTTTGTTTATTAAGCTGTTCACCGGAAAGAAATAATTAAACCCTGGAAACTGACAGGCAATAATGAAAGTGGCAACCCAAAGTCTGAGAGCAGCGGAAGTTTTTTAACTTCAGCACACAAACCATTCAAATTTGTCCAAAAAAGAAAAATAAAAATTCGTTCTAGTAAACTCTACAAAATTACGTATGAACTCATCTTGTATTGAGTGGGTAAATGAGCGGTGGACGCTAGTTTTTATTTTTTTGTTTTCAAAAAAGATCTGTTTTCAATTATACTGAACACGCGGGAACTAACTGTGTAGTAAGCAGGGAAGCTCAACCCAGAGCTTTTTACGCCTATCAATCAATTATGCGCCAGTTATAAAATGCTGGTCCTCTAAAAACCCATTTTTGACGCCATGTTCTGCTGAAAGATCGCTCCCGAAAGAAAGTATTAATTGAAGAGACTTTTTGGCGTCAAAAGCAGCAAAACTGTTTTCTTTTTACATATTTTTGCCGCCAAAATAGTCCATACGCCAGTTTTAATTGCCACTCTGAATGTTGGCTACATTGAGTTCTAAAACAACCCGTTTTTTTCAAACCTCTTGTACTTTGGCATTCTTAAACGCCACCATGTGCGCCACAAATTTATATGCTAACTGAAAAAACATTTGAAAAACCACTATTAGAATAACTCAAAACACAGTCGATGAAATCACTTGTGAAAAACTAAAAAAAAAACATGTTGTTTTCTCAAAATTATTTGGATTAAATAAAGTTATAATTTAAGATAGTTTAAAACGTAACGATCCATTTATTGCCTTCTTGTGACTAAGAGTAAATCGAAGAGAAAAATTAAGCTATCAAGAATTTAATTCACATGAACTTAAGCCGACAAAAAAGCAGACAAAAATGACACGATAACCTAAATTCTCCCAACAGAAAACTTTCAATTACAAAAAAGGGGTCCTTGGCACCGGACTCACGACCTAGACATTTTTCGTACCATGCACATGCTTAAACCCTACATAGAGCGGTTAAAAGAAGAAGCAAAAATTTTTTATGCAAATAATGCACACTGATCAATTCAGTGAACGAAAGTTTTTAACGGGAAAAAGATGAGCACCCGGTAGCAATTACCTTGCTAATCGCAATGGTAAATTTTCTGGCTAGGTAGAGATAAACTTTATGGGAAAACTTGACTACATTGCTTATAATAATAATTTTCGCTTCTGCGATTCGCAGAGGATCTACGAAAGGCTTTGCAGCCTACATAAGCATAGTTCTTTTCTATTATTTCCCCACATTCCAGACTGAATTATTTTGTTGAGCGAAGCTCTTTTGCGACTCAAGGTCGTTTTTTTTGTCTCGAAATTTCACGTTTGCTTACCTGATAAAACTGTTTGGACTGTTTGAGGAAATGAATCTCGAAGTAGTCTTCGTAGAATTTAGTGTCGTAGATGCCGACATTCATCAGAATAGTGCAGGCGTTCTTAATGGCCGCTCTGAAACAAAACAATCTCGCTAAAAGAAGCTCGCGTTATAAGAAGCTATAGAACAGTGAAACCAAAGCTAGCATCAAATCTTCAACAACAAAAAGGAGTAAGAAGACTAGAAACATGCAACTAAAAGAGCGAAAGATAACCATTCTACTCTTTTAAGAGTACCTTTAAGGAAAAAAGATAAAAGACCAGGCATTGGATAGCAAACCTATCTATCATTTCGCCCCTCCTTTCTCGCTCTATGCTTAGCATCAGCGTCTCCCTTAGATGTTTCTTGACCGCTTCCTCCTTTAAAATCTGCTCTCTGAACAGAATCAGTCCCAGATTGTACACATTCTCCAGCTTGTTCTGTTGCACGTATGCCCTGTCCATGTACATGAGTATGTCTCTGATCATGACCATGGCAGTTGTATGGTCCTGCCAGGCTACGTTTAACACTGACAGGAAATTGTGATTGATTGCAGTCTTCACCTCTGGCAGCACCTGCAGTACATCAAACAAGAACAAAATCAACTTTCCGAACAAAGGAAATAACAACGGGGTACAGATAGCCCAACCAAGTTGACGAGATAATTGTCTTTGCCTTTTATGAAATATGGTCAATTCAAAGCCGACTCTAACTTTTTCTCTTTTTTTGTGAGGGTTGGAAACTAGGATATATTCCGTAGGCAATAACCAAGAAGCGCATGCATAGCTCTGTTTAAACGGCTTAAAAAAGGGAGGCACTACTGAGCTCAACTCGTATGTAAAGTAAATAACCTTAAAAAATCAGATCAAAACTGAGACAAGAGGAAACAATAACATAGTTCAAGCATACAAAATGTTTTTCAAACCATTCCAACTTTGCATAGAGCTCCAAATTATGAAAAACAGCTGAAATATCTGATGCTATCATGTTTTGTTCAGACCTCGTAGGGTAATTTGTAAAACCCTTTGTAGGTACCTCAAAAAATTGACGAAATTAAGTGTGGTATCATGATACAGGACTGTTAGTCGTAATTGGAATGGCAACACATAGCCAACTGACAGTTGGAAAAGATTAATGAACGCAGGGAAACTGGAAAAAAAAATCGACTTTTTTTTCAAAAATCTTAAACTTCGAATGAAAAATTAGTTGGCCTTCAAGCTCTTTGAAATTGTAAAACAATTTATGATTGACACTTTTTTGATGATTATAACCCAATTTGAGAAAACTGGATCAATAGGTAAAACTTTTACTTCGCAGGGAAATCTGATAATTAATTTCTATTTTCGAAATTAGAAGTCCATCTCGTTTTTCGTGACCTTTACATTTTTGCTATTCGATACTGGAGTTTACTTTCATTTTAAGGAAAGAAATGAAGAGCACTGAAAAAGTAACCGAAAATCAAGCCGCGAAAAATCAAAATTATGCGTGAACAAAGTTAAAACAAAAAAAACATAGTCACCAAGGCCTATATAAGAGTCCCTACGTTTATTACTCTTAGAAATTTAAAAAAAAAGTTATCTCGATCGAGAAAAATTGGACTGAACTTTCCCGAATCATCTCGCAATATTGCAGCTCTTCTACATAATTCTATCGGCCGTTTACTAGGAAAAAAGTTAGGATTTTCCTAACTTACATTTTTTTAATATAAATAATGGCGGTGGTCGGAACATTAACTGGATATTCTTGCTTAATCATAAGATTATGCTAATTTTTGGAATCGACGTCAGCTTGCATCGATGATAGGTGCTCGGAAGGAGCATCAACTTACGTTGTCTCTTAGATGCTGGATAACAGTCTCCTGCAGTCCATTGTACAACTTCACTCCATGCTTGTGTAGCACCATAGTGTACGCATTCCTGTATAGCTCCTCAAAACTCAATCCGGAGTTGTTTTTCTTCTGGATTTCGATGATGGAGTCGCGGAGTAGCTTCCAGATGTTGTCTACCAGCTGGTCGTCCATGTTCATTGGGAATGCTTTGATACGCATGCTGGAGGACTGGTCCTTCCGACTGCCTCCCCTCGTCCCAAATACCCCCACCGACGTCGTAGCCCCGGTGCCCGCGCTGCTCGTGTTTGATCCTCTACCATCTCCTCTGCTCATTTCATCTATCTGAATCCAAGTTAAGAAATAATTTTTTCAAAAAATATACTTTTTGAGACCGATCAAGAGATTAAAATGCCGGCTGAACTGTTAGAGGCTCTTGTTTTTAGCTGTAAAACAAAGACTTGCAATAAAAAAGTTTTCTTCAAATATCATAGTTTCCAAAATTAAAACACGATCCCATTATTGAAGACCGTCAAAAACACGTGAATTGACCATTAAACAACGCAAACAAAAAAGAGTTTTCGAAATGCTAGAAAAAAAGCCGAACTTTCAAAAAAGCTTTTCTGCGGTTAACTAAGCCGGCAAGAATAAGCAGAAAGAAAAACAAAAAGCTAAATAAGCCTAGGCAGAAAATTTTCAGTTTGCAAAAAAAGTCCGGACTGGAATCCTGGGCTTTGACGTCAAGCACGGCTGTTACAGCAACATTGAAGAAAGTTGAAGCTTCAAAATAAATTGGGTTACGGGAACTAAGCCGACAAAAACAAACAGACGGACGATAGTCCGAAAAATAACAAAAACTCAAGTTTGCATTAAAAACAGGACTGGTCGGATTCAAACCACAAGCCTTTGCTGTCTTAAGCAAATGTGTTACCTCTACGACAGATGTACCGGATGGTTGATTGAATTTATAACTAGCAGACAGAAAAAGAACGCAACTATGTGCATAAAATTGAAAGAGCCTTAAAAAAACGACAAATTAAAAAAATTCGAAACTTCTGGTATCATGTTTTATCTCCTGATTAAAACGCTTCCCTTCCCTTGAAATGACCCCAAATTAGTTCCATGCGAAAACATACGAAGATAAGTAAAATTACAAATTGCAGGAGTTTTTCATAGCAATAACAGCAACTACACTTTAAAAAATCAATTTTACGATGTGGCAACTAAGCCGACAAAACATAAGCAGACAATAAATAGGCCAAGAATTAGAGCAATATTTCCAATTTGAATAAATTTTAACAAGTGATTCTGTTAAACAAGTTATTAATCTGGAAAAACCTATATTCCGATTTAACATTTTTTAACACAATTTGAGAAAACAGGATCAATAGATAACAAGAATAGCCGTTTACTGTGCAAGTAGCACAGAATGTTCCCACCAGTCTTATAAAATACAAAAATGTTTTCTCAAATTGGTCTCGTTTTTTTTTCTGCATGTTGTGCTAAAAAAATCTGAACGAAATAATAGAACTTAGGCATATTTGAGAGTCATAGTAAAAAAGGTCAATTGAAAAACAGTTTTTGAAGAATAATGACTAGAAAAAAAATTCAAACGTTTTCAACATTTTTTGCGGCAATTTTTTCAATTTTCAAGTTTTTGATTCCCAAAATCGCACAAAAAAAACTGCAAAAACTACCTTTACTTGAGTAAAACTAAGTTTTCGCGGCTTAAATTAAGCTTAAATAAGCTCTGCAATTACTAACTACCTTACTAATTAGACCAAAAATCAAAAATTTCACACCGGTTCATCTCGACACTGAAATTTTCTTTAAAGTTTTTTTAATGTTGTTCGAATAACAACTAACAGGGCTTCAATAGGATATGTCACTCAACCCAGTCCGATGACTATTTGTGGTACCTGATTTTGCGTTGAAAACAAAAAGAAAAAAACTGAAACACACCCGAATACAAAGTTCCTCCCCATTTCCAAGGGTCGAAACAATAATTTGAGAATGACGAAATGTCAAGAAAAACTGGTTTGCAGTTTTGCCTATTCACACTCCATTTAATTCTCATTTCAACGATGAAAAATTTTTTCCACTTCAAATGTTTCTACGATAGATTGATACGGTTCAAAGGGAGAAAAATAACTGGAAACTATCACCTGATTCTAGCAGCCTGCAAGTGTAAAAACAGCTTTAAATGTCTTTAACTAAGCCAAACAATCCTTTCCCAAACTATAGAATATTTTGGATTACGTCACATGGCAATTAATTTAGAAGAACTATTAACAGACACCAAACATTGCTAAATCAGTTTCTCATACACAACAACAACAGCATTTTCACGCACAAACTTAGAATTGACCTCTGCAGCTATACTTATTTTCTGTACATCTGTCGATGTTATTTTCAGCCAAAGTGGCTCTCGACTGCTCTGGGTGTCCATTGAATTCGACACCTTCATGTACGAAATGTACTCGCCGTCATCAAAGGTATACCCACTATGAGCTATGATGAAACTAAGTGAGTACTTGAACTCTTCTGGAACTACGTCTATGCCCGGGTATTCCTCTTTGCTTTGCCTCGCGGTTGTCATGGGATACAAATCCAGGCCACTTTTGTTGACCATCAACTGGTTGATTGTCTTCACTATTTTTCCAGTCTTCTCATCGGGCGCGAAACGGTTTAGATTAAGTATCAAGTACTGGGGCAACTGTGCGAAATGCATCCTTGAGTAGTGTGTGAACGACGAAAGAATCTTCGGTGAGGGTTCTTTAGCTTTATTTGCTGTAAGAGCGTCGCCACTACCCGAATACACTTCGTTTTCGTCTGCGAATGAGACCTGTCGTGGCGCCAGCGAGAAATATTGGTCAGAAGCTGCTTGATGTTGTGCTCCAGACGAAACTGGACAGTGCTGTTGAATGAATTCATCATAACACACGCATTGGAAGCTCCTAGACTTCTTCACTCGTTTTTTGCTCACCAAGAACTGAAGACAGTCTTCTATTGTAGTAATTCTAAACCAGATTCAATTATTGTAGCTAGGAAAACATTCCTTGAACTCAAATAGCAAGAAAATAACTTTATACATCCGGCTTAATTGTCAAAAAGCAGCTTAATTGTCAAAAACCAGGTCAATTTTGATCTTTTCCATTTCCACCAGAAAAGATGAAACTGATATTCATTTCACAAGTTTCGTGTGTTTAGTCACAACAACGACTACTTTGAACATTTATGAAAAATAATAATTGACAAAGACAAAAAAATTACACAAAATAATTTCTTACTTTCTAGCTTGATTAGAAGGTGCCACCAAAATATCCAAATCCAAAATTGAGAACTTTTTGAAATTATACGCAAAGCTGTCGCAAGAGGAGCAAAACATTGTTTCGGCTAGTTGACCCTCAAAACTGGTCGAAACTAGTGAGGATGCGCCCTGTTTAGCTTGCTGTAAAATCCAATGCGCCATGGACAGTTTGCCCAATAAGAAGTAGTAATTGCCTCCAAAGATTCCATCACAATTTTCTAAGTCTTCTTGACACTGCTTTGCAACAGATTTCATTTGAAGCCTCAACTCAAGCGATTTCGTTTCCTCGTTTGCGCTCCTTTTTCTCGTACTTTCGTCAACTTTGCCCAAAAACTGTTTCAAAAGCGATTCAAACGAGACTTTCAGCTTTATGTCAACTATCTCATCGTTGACGTCAAAACTGTCACCAAAGTTGTCAACTAGGTACGAAAGGTTCGATTCCTTGGAAAAATTCGAACTGCTGAAAACCGTTTTCATGACTTCGCGCATGTTTGAGACTCCGTCGTTATCGCTGATTTTGAACACATAACAAACTTTCGCAAATACAAACTTCAAAATGATGCGCATCTTTGAGTTTTTCTCGCTAGAAAAATCCACGTTATTGTTATCCAGGGGTTTTTCCAAGTATTCGCTGCCTTTAATTGCTGAAATGGTGAGGAGCAAGGCTGATTTTATTGCACTGATTGAGGTCTGTGTTTTCATTGAAACGTGTGCTTCAACAATCGGCGGTTTCCATTGTTTTTCAATAAATTCTCGGAGTCTCAAACAGTTCCTGGAGATCAACTTCAACAATTTTTCTACAAAATAGTGAATAACAGTTACCAGCCGGACTATTTTTGTCTGCCAAGCGATCTGGTTTTTAGTCGGAGAGTTCATCAAGTTTGGGCTTGATCTTGGTCTAGGCGTCGAAGTTGCCATACCATTGGCCCTTAAATTACCTTTGAAAGCGTCAAAAGGTGTCATTTTACCAACCAAATTATCAGCGTTTAAACTTCTAGGCGGTGTAGCGACGTTGCCGGCTTCGAATCTCATTCGATTTGGAATAGAGCTCAATCTGCCTCTATTGTTCGGAGGGATTGTAGCCAAAGGCGAGCGAAACGATATATTTCCTGGAATCTTGCAGGAACATTCATTTGCGTAAGCCAAGCAGTTATCACACGATATTTCATCCAATGATCGACTGTATTGAGTAAACAAATAAGTAGCAGCGGTCATCAAAAACAAAAAATAAGGGGTGTGGTCAAAACAAAGATACAAAAAGGTAATGATAGACAAGACATAAAACTCTTTCAGCCACAGATCTTTCTTGAAGGTCGAATTTTCATTTTCAGCTGATTTCAGAAGTTGTTTGAAGACTCCTTCGACAAACATGAACGAAAGAGCGTCCACGACAAACTCTCGGATCATTCTTCAAATCTGAAAAATCTTTCTTGTTGGTTGAGCAAACAGTGTCGAGCTTAAAAATTATCGCGCATTTCTTAACACCTTTAACTAGGCCATCAAAATGAAAACTCAGAAAATCTAATTATAATGATTTATATGTACAACAAAGACAACTTGGGGAAAACCTCATTAGTAGTTTGCAAAAATCACTGAATTATATTAAATGTACTTTCTTAGTTTAATCTGAATCTGAACTGGAGCTGGAAGATGATCCGGAAGATGAGCCAGATGACCCTGACGACGATGAGCTGGATCCTCCTGAGGAGCTACTTGAGGTCGTCGAGGAATCCGAGGAGCTAGAGCTACTTCTAGATCTCCCTTTCTGTCTTCGTTTTTCTGGAACCCTTTTTTTGACTGCTTTTCCAGGAGCCACACTTTTCTGAGTTTTTTCTTTTGCTTTTCTCAATTTCTGTTCTAGTTCTCTTTCACGTTTCTTTCTTTCTGCACGTATTTGATCTTCTTTCTTCTTATCTTCGCGTCTCGATTCTCTAACTTTTTCTCTACCTTCGCGAGACTTTTCGACTTTTGGTTTTCTGATATCAACTTCTTTACCTCGTTTTTCTTCCCGAGATCTTCCGTTTGAAATCTTATCACTCCTGGAAGCATTTTCTGTTTTGCGCTTTTCAGCTCCGGAAGTCTTCGTCTCGGCCTTTGATTGGCGCTCTCGATCATCATTTTTAACTGTTTTTACCTTATCATCAGGCTTCCGTCGAGACCGATCTGCGTCAGTTCGCCTAACTGGACTTCGGCTTCTAGAACGTTTCTTCTTTTCGGTACCTTTTCGCGAAATGTCAGCGCTCTTAGGTTTGACAACCGGTTCTTTTTCTGTGACTGGTTTTCGCAGTTTTGTATTTAGTTTATCATCTTCGATTGGTTTCTCAGTGGGCTGTTTCTTTGGTGAAGTTGATTCGCTTTGCTTCTTTTCCTTGTCGCGGATTTTCGTAGGACTTTGAACATTATCACCTTTTTCTATGGAATCGGACCTTTTCCTTTCCGGCGGATCTTCTAAGCGTTTTTGTTTCCTACTTGGACCCTCATCCGGCGTCAGTTCTACTTCCTTCTCTGCCTCTTCAATATCCTTTTTGAACAGTTCTCTCGTGTCCACAAACCCACCCGGTCTGTTTCTAATGCTTATTTCATCTCCAACTTCTTTTGCCCTTTTCTTTGCTTCAAGTCTCCTTAAATTCCGTTCAGCGTATTCATTGACCATCTCAACTTTAAGTATCGGGGTCTGCTTCAATGAGGCAGGTTCTATGACCCCACGTTTCAGTACCTTCTTTGTGCTGTGTCTTTTCACTTTTTGTGCCAATTCATCTGCATACATTTTCATCTTTTTCTGCGACTTCGAAGTCATCGGATTTTCCTCTTCACTTTCTGACTTACTCACTTCAGAAACTTCCGATTCTTCATCATCCTCTGACTCGGAGAACTCCATTTTCCGTTCTAGCATTCGACTCTCAGCTATCGGAGCCGCAGTTCTACGCCGCAACAAATCACGTACGTCTTTGACGCGCAAGTCTTCAAACGGCGTATCTGGATCATTAAAACTCCCTTTATTGCCGAGTCTATTAAAAACGGATCCTTGGACCGGGTTTTTTATCCACACACTTGGGTTCGAATTCTTTAGAATTCCACGCTTTTGCAGATATCGTTCTTTGAACGAATTCGAAATAACTCCAACCATGTTGCCAAAGTGGGGGTTTCCTTTTTCTTGATAATACTTGCTTTTCAGCATGGCGTACATTTCTTTCCGGTCCATTTCAACAGCATACCGGCATTTCATCACAACGATCTGATCATTGACAACTTGAACCGGTCCATATCTCCATATTGAAGTCAGTACACGACTACTGTCTAAGTTCTCACGCGGAGGTGCCTTTACATACACGATATCATTTCCCAGTTTGAAACACTTTTTGGACATTGTAGGGTCCGGTTCTTCTGGAACTTTATCCAGGGTCGCTTCGTCTTCCTCGACCTCTCCATCTTCTACACTATCTTCGTCGTTGTTTTCTTTCGAGCTATCGGAAGCTTCGATCTTTTTATCTATCGGGAGCTTTATAGGCACTTTGTAGTACTCTGGCATTGTCGGGAATAAATACTGCAGAAAACATGACGAGCATTCTTTGTCAGAGTCGTAAACGATATTACATGAGTCATCGTCGATCCATTCTAAACTTTCGGGTGGGTAGGGCTTGAAATACTCAAAAACCTGCTCTGTGGAAAAATCTGTAACCCCCTGGACATAAATTGCGGTTGTTCTTACTTTTGATTTCTTTTCGTCGCCTGTTTTGAGTTGATATCTTTGGATCAAGTCGCATTCGGGTGCAATAATTTCTCCCCAAACATGGCCGAATGTTTTCGCTCTATTCTGCTTTCGCTTTAATTTTTCAGCGGCAGATAAGTCTTGTTCCTCGGCCAAAAGTTGTTGCAACTTTTCTTTTTCTCCTGTATCCTCTTCGTTTACTTTCTGATTTTGTTCCTCATTCTTCACATAGTAATATGGATTCTGATATCGCTTTCTTTTTTTGAAAGGACGAGTTATTTCAACTTCGTCTCTAAGTCTGTCTTGAAAAGGCACACCCGAAGTAGCGCTGCAGTTTAAGAGATCCAAAAACACAACGTCATCTAAACCGTCATTTTCTTCTTCATCTTCGTCTCCCTTCTTCTCATTTGCCTCTTCTAATGGATGAAGTGGCAGTGTGTTATCCACAGTAATTTTAAGCTTGGCAGCTTTTTCCTGAATAACCATTTCACCTGAAAAAAGCCACATTAACTAAACTATCCATATTTATCCATTTTTGACGTCACAACTTAATTGACTTGGATTCATTTGATCTCGGGTGAGAAAATTAACATAGAATTTTTAATTAATTTTTGAATATCAATCAAACTACAATTTATTTACGGAAGCTTATAAAAGAACATCGTTATAAAATTTACAGGAATAGCTGATCGTAAGACAATCGCTCAACATAGGGACTGACTATAAACATGGTACTGAAATAGAACGATAAACCGAAAAATATCGAAATGGGCAGCGCAGGCAAAGCGCGACGCATGAATGCGAGAAGCACAACCGTTGATATAAGTCCAAAAATGATGGCAATGTACACTGCAAAAACTACAGTATAGTCTCCGCTAGAGGCCGCTTTGCCGATCAGTATGCTGTAGAAGATGAAATCGCCGAGTCCTAGCTTGACGCCTCGCTCCTCGTCTTCCAGTTCCAGATCCGAATCAGTTGTGTTGTGCGAAGTCCGGTTATTACTCGTGGCATTATTTCCACCGAGACTTCCCACCGCTTCGCGCGCGGTTTCGCTTGGCATTGAGTCGTCGCTCAATCTCCCTCTGTGGCGTGCCCTCAAACTACCTCTTTCAGCTCTATCAGTACAACTGTTGTCCAATTTAGATAGCTTTGCATCATCATTAGCAACTCGACCTTCGCTATCGGCCATAGTCACCATAGCCGATGAGTATATCAATGCCGGGAATATTGGCTCGTCTCTTTCTTGTGCTAGTTGCACTAGGACTCGTAGTGGGCCAACTGGCAACAAAACGGCGGCCAAGTCATAGAGAGCCAAGACTCCTAGAAGTACCCAGGTCGTCCAGTCGGGAATATATCGGATCAAGAGAAGCGCCATTAGAGCGCCTACAATGATAAGATACATTTGCTGCAAAACAAGCGGACCCTTCCAGTGAATCGCCAGCATCCCGAGAACTCCAAAATTGAGCAGGAAGAAGAACGTAGTGATAAAATCTAGCGCAATATTCATCCACTTAGCTAAGCTTATCATATAAACAAAGGAGAAATAGAACAAAAGGAAAAACGATGACACTATAAGCCAGCCATGGATAACTCGATAGCAACGATATTTGTAGAGTAAAACCAAGACTGTTGTCATCACAAGAACGATGCTCACAAATATCAAGGAGTTCAGAACAGCGATCCCAAGGTTTCCCCATCCACCCTGGTTACTTTCTCGAAGTGGAGTGTAATATAAAGTGGGTTGTATCGATGAGTCTGTTTTCTGGTAGAAATCGAGTTGTGTGATAGAAAAACATACAATTATCATACAGACAGTAACTGGCACAATCACCAACACGATGTGTTTCGCGCCATACTTAACATCTTGTGCTTCATCTTCTGATGCTTGTCGATGACGACGTTCCTCTGTACCATCAACTTCGTCCGCATCGGGTTCTCCTTGAGCCAAAGGTGGAATCAGGGGTCCAGTAGAAGACCCACCAATTACTGATGTCATAACACTAGAAATTTATCAATTTCAAGGTAAAAAAAGATACCCAATTGCTGTGCAAGTGGCACAGAATGTTCCAACCACAAAAGCCAACAGTACAGTAAAAAGGAGCAATTTAACATCCCTCTGAATGATCAAAAGCGTCATTAGAGCACCTATATGATAAGATGCATATGCTGCAGGGCAGATTTTCCTGACACTTTAACAAATTTCTGTGAAATCGAATCACGGCCACAATTTATATTTACCACAATTGACTCCTATAAGCTTGAATAGGCTATAAAAATATGAAAACCGACACTACCAGAACGGAATTTGTTGAGGAAGATCAGTAAACTTATTTGCTATTGGTGAAAGTATTAGACGCAAGGGACGGTAACTCGTCGCGGCACAATCGCAGACAAGCCTGTAATTCTTCGCGGCATATTCGCAAACAAGCCCAATCTGTACTATCTCATTCAAGACGAATCTGACTTATTGAGTATTCCAACAAAAAAGTTGATCTAATTAATTTACTTGTTAGTATCACTCCTTGATTTTAGCTTAGGTTCATTCTTTTCGGGTTCAAAAACTCTAACTTAAGACAAAGCTGTCATTAGAATTTTAGGTGCTAGGGATTTTAGCAGACCGGTTTTTTATTAGACCAATCTTTTAGCAGACTCAGAACAGTTATAAAGTCTACGCAGCGCTTCAATTCAACACGTTTGACAGCTTAAAACTTCGCAAATGCGATAAACACAAGCTGTCAATACCAACTACTTTGCCTAACCGAAACATGGTTAACCAACGACGTAACAGACAACTCCATATTCTTGCCTCAATTTGAACTCTATCGATCTGAAAGAACTTCAAAAGGCGGTCTATCGAAACACGGAGGAGTTCTAATTGGCATCAACGCCAACATACCACATAACCGCATTGATACAGGCATGCAAGACTGCGTAATGGTTCAACTCAAGATATCTGTACCAATACTTGTCTGCTGTATATTTTGTGCCCCTTTGTTTAGCCCATACCGATGGTCACTAGATCAACTTAACTAATTGCTGAACTTAATAAAAGCAACACAACGCAAGCAAGGCATACAAAATCTTGTCATTGTTGGAGATATCAACTTCTCGTGTACAAATTGGAAATCACTCTCATCAAAATGCGAGTACGAACAAAGCATCCTAGACAACTTCCAGGAATTAAACTGTGCCAGTCGGTCATATTTGGAAGTTTGACCTTGAGAGAAGCAAAAAACACTTGATTTTGGAGTGAAATTTAATTTTTCAAAATTTCGAATGGAACCTGTCATGCACGATTTTCTCGCGAGAACTGAAAATCAGAAAAAGAGATCAGAACAATTTCAGAACAATTGAGTAACAATCGCGGGAAAGTTGCTAGAAAAATCGGTGGGAAATTGCTATTCGCAATTTCGAAAGCAATAATAACCTAGAGTAGAGCTGTCCCATCTGAAACAGAGACGAGAGCATTCCCACGAGTTGGATTATCACGATTGGAATACTATTATTGACTGGACCAGAGTGATCCTTCGGTGGAAAGGTGGACAGCTAGAGTGTCCCAATGGTTCACGAGAACTTGCAGTCTAGAGTAAAAACTTGTTCTTGTTGTTAAAACTGACTGACATTAAACTCATTTTAGTTACTTTGTTGATTCTTGAGTTGTTTACCGACTTATTTACTTCCTGGTTCTTGAGCGTGCTACTATGTGAGTACAAATTTAAATTCTAGAGTGTGTTTTATGATTGTTATGTTGAGGTAAGGCGAGTTTTAGGTTGATCCATCTGAAATGGATCAAAGTTCCACTGTCTAAGAAAAAAGCAACTTAACGGATTGTTCCAACCCGGTTTTTAACGGCGTTCATGTATTTTGGGTATCTAGAGACCTAAGTATGGGGACGTTTCTAATTCTAGAGTGGGGGGATATTTTAGTAGTAGCCTTTAAGCTGTAACGGGTCGTAGTCTCATGTCACAAGCGAACCGAACTGGCTCCGACCGTTCTTGAGGTAGAAAAACACAAGAGATAGTGTCCCTGACCCTTGAGCCAGTGGTTATAGGGCCTATTTTTCTTAAGCCTCATGTGTGACTGCAGTAGACGAATGTTACATAGTGTTTTTATAGCGCTCCTGGGTGTTTACGACATCAAGACTACGGAGTCGAACCCACTTGAGACAGCTTCGGGCTGAATGCCCATTCTAGAGTACCGGCGGTACGGTTCTACAGGAACGTGCAAACCTTCCGGTTGTACCGTGATAGCTTTTTAAGAAAACTCGAGAAAGTTTCCTGGTACGCTCTCCGAACGAGGCTTAGCTAACCGAGTAAAGGGGGGCAACTAGGGGGACAAAAACACGAGCAAAAAGACAAAAAGCAAAACAAAAACCAAAAAAGAATAGAAAAAGGAACAAAAACCATAAAACGAAAAAAGACAGTGACTTTGACACCAGATCAGTTGGATCAAACCTTTGTATTAATTAAATAGTATACCCATACTGTTTTATAAGTTCGATCGTTTCGATCAACCTAGCAATTTAACCCAGTAACCGTAATAAAGTGCCCGAGTGTGGGGCGTTGTCAAGGGTTTTCAGATAGGTTGGAACTTAGCTGGACCAATAGGAGACTTGACTGGAAGAGGTGACCAGCCGAGTGGGAAAGTGGTTCAGGGACACTTGAGCTGAACCAATAGGAGACTTGACTGGAAGAGGTGACCAGCCGAGTGGGAAAGTGGTTGAGGGACACTTGACCTGAACCAATAGGAGACTGGACTGGAACAGGTGACCAGTCGAGTGGGAAAGCAGCCAAGAAGGATTTGGCAATTCTCGAGTTCTCAAGTTGGGCAGAACGGGTATCGTTAGAATCCACATTACATTATAGGAGATAAGTGTAAAATTGGATAAGCGAAATCCCCCAGTTTTGAGGAACGTTTTTACTTGAGCAGGCCTGGAAACAGGTCTACGGTTTTCTCTTGAGAGGTTTAGCACCCGGCGCTTAAAGTAATTTTTAGGCTTAAGAAGGGGGGCTAGAAAGGGGGGAGGTTAGAAGGGGGACTGGTTAAGTTAGAGGTTGGCGGTTGTAAATTGTAAAAAGGGGGAAATTAGAGTAACTAATTAGTCGACATCGTTGACTTAGTTACATTAGAAATTAACACGCGTTGGTAATATTAGGTGGAGATCCAAAATTCAACTCGAGTTAAGACTGGTACGCTGGTTGGTTTGGTAGGGGGGACCGGATATAGACAGTTTTTGTGATACCCCATAAGATCACTAGTGGGGGGAGGAAAACGCGTGGCAATTAGGTACCAGACATATTTTTTTTAGACGAAAGGTAGACATTGGTCACCTTTGAATTTCAGGTGGGCTCATTTTTCTGTTTTTATTATTTTTCTTACTTAGATTTTTGTTGCATTTTAGTGAGGATTTGTGTTTGGTTTTATACGAACAGGTGATCACAAGATACCTGCGCACCTACATTGAAATAGAAACAACCAAAAAGAAGAGGGGGGTCAGCATTTGGCTTTTAAGAGAGGGTTTTTGGGAAAATTTTACTAGAGCTTGAGTGGTGGTACAAGGTACGGTGATTCAAGAAGACCCTACAACGAGGAAGACACTCCGTGACGAGTATTGGGACAAGACCGAAGAAGTCTTGGGACAGAGCAGTCTTGGGATAGTGGTCTTGGGACAGGGTCTTGGGACAGTGGTCTTGGGACAGGGTCTTGGGACAGTGGTCTTGGGACAGGGTCTTGGGACAGTGGTCTTGGGACAGTGGTCTTGGGACAGGGTCTTGGGACAGGGTCTTGGGACAGTGGTCTTGGGACAGGGTCTTGGGACAGTGGTCTTGGGACAGTGGTCTTGGGACGGGGTCTTGGGACAGGGTCTTGGGACAGGGTCTTGGGACAGTGGTCTTGGGACAGGGTCTTGGGACAGGGGTCTTGGGACAGGGGTCTTGGGACAGGGTCTTGGGACAGTGGTCTTGGGACAGTGGTCTTGGGACACTAGTCTTGGGACACTAGTCTTGGGACACCAGCCTTGGGACACTGGTCTTGGGACACTACCCTTGGGACACTAGTCTTGGGACAGTAGTCTTGGGACACTAGCCTTGGGACACTAGTCTTGGGACAGTAGTCTTGGGACACTAGCCTTGGGACACTGGTCTTGGGACACTACCCTTGGGACAGTAGTCTTGGGAAACTAGCCTTGGGACACTAGCCTTGGGACACTAGTCTTGGGACAGTAGTCTTGGGACACTAGCCTTGGGACACTGGTCTTGGGACACTACCCTTGGGACACTAGTCTTGGGACAGTAGTCTTGGGACACTAGTCTTGGGACAGTAGTCTTGGAACAGTGGCCTTGGTACAAGGGTCTTAGGACACTAGCGGAGAGTACTGTGATAGTGACGAATAGTCTTGGGACGGTATAGAAATTGAAGTCAAATTACAACAAGTGCGTTTTAAGACAGAATAAGACAAATCGAAATAGGTAGGGTTAAGACCAAATTAAGGAAAATTTTTCGGAGGTTTTAGAAAGAGAATTGGATAAGGTTTTTAACACGTTGTACAGAGTTTGTTACCACAAAAAATATTTTTTTTTTACCCTTAGAATAGAATCGTGTATATAATAAAATTGTAAATAGAAGCAGTTGTAAATAGAAATAATGAGGCGGAGTAGGGTACCGGTGCTCGAAAAAAGGTCAAGTGGATCAAACACGAAATATAATTCATCGCTGCGCGGAACGACATCAACGGGCCCAAAGATAACGAAGACGAACTTTTCAGTTAACATGGTCAGCACAAGGAGTACAGCGGAGAACAGGGCGAAAGAGGGCACGGAAGGGGAGCGAGTAGAACCCACCATCGAGATTGATCTAGAGACACCCGATCAAAGTGTGGATGAAACAAGGAAGATGGCGACAGAGTCAACTCCAATGCCCTATGCAGAGGAACCGAACCAGAAACCCATAGAGTTCTCACCGATAGATGACGCGGAAGATGCAATAGGCAACACCGAAGAAACGGTGAAAGAAGACTCTCAAGTAAAGAGGACATCTTTTACGGAAAAATTGGGAATAATGTTCGGAATAAAAACAAAAGAAAACGTGACTGAAGAACCAAAAGCAGAAAGAGCACGAACATTTGGGACAGTGAGCAC